ATTTAATAAATTAATAATAAATTATCATAAATTTATAAAAAATTAATGATTAAAAATAGCGTAATCAATTCAAAAGATTCTTTTATTCCATTGAAGAAATTTTCAGTACTACAAAAATAATAAACGGTTGTCCTGTTTTTTAAAATATTCAACTGTACTTAATCATTTATTTAAAAAATATTTAAAAATTCGTGCCATATGTTTAAATAGCTTTTCGTGACCAATGCGAATTTGACTGAAAATTATTTACACTTTTTTATATCACAAAAAAGGACAAAGTAAATGCTTTAAGGTATTATATCACGATTGATAATGAAAGCTTTTCACCATAAAAACAAAACGGATCTGAAAATCAATAAATATTAATAATTTTTCCAATGATCTTAAAAGAAATTAAACTCAAAAAAAGAATTTTTTTCTGGAATTTCCTTCACATTCGTAAAATATACATTGTTTATGGTTGTATCGCTATTCTACTGTGCGAATTAAAAAAAATGTATTTGCTAAATGATTTTAAAAATTTTAAAATTTTAATTTTTATTTTGAAAATACAAATTTTAAACTACAAAATTATGAAAATTTTCAATTTTTTTGTTAAAAACATTTTGAAAACTGCTTAAAAAACAGCTCGTTTATAGCCACATCGTCGCCAGTTGAAAGCTGTCGTGACGACCATATCGACTGTCAAAAATACCAAAATCTTTGCAATTTTGGTGATTATGCATTGCACATGCGAGTTAAATGTCGGATGACTTGTGGTTTGCGTTGATATGTTGGAATTGAAAGAAATATCTTTTTTTATGCCTTTTGAAGAAATGTTTTAATCTAAAAATTAGACATAAAAAATTAACTCTTCTAACTAAAAATTTTCAATTCTTATTTTCCAGCCAATTCTCTTCATTGTTGTTATTTTCATTATTACAATTGGTATCGTAAATATAACTATTAGTAATATTATTAATTAATTATCATTATTAGTGTTTTAACATGTAAATTAAAAAAATATTATGATTTACTGATATAATTGTATTATTTTCAATAAATAACAAATGGAAATTTAACTGAGCAAACTTAGTCGTCTTTCTTCTAGCAGCTCTCACAATTATTGGTTAAGTTGGTTCCGCTAGTTAAAAGGATGAGACTTCTCCAAACTATGTGTTCCTATACCACCGCTGACATTTATCAAAGTAGTTTCTTTTTTAACTGTCTATGTTCAAATATAGCTGGTCCAGCTATACGTTCAAAAACTTTCTTGAGTGTATCAGTCCTGGTCTTGATTGGTCCATTTCTCTTTTGACGCCATATCATAGGGTTCAGCAAATAATGAAATATGTATCGATTCTCATAATGTTTTCATCAAGAAGAAGAACATATGAAATGACACGTAGATTTTATCCACTCAACGAACTCTTAAAAAATACCATCTTAGATATTTTTGATCAAATGTTGATACCTTCTTAATTTCCTTCGACTATGTCTCGTAACCATATAGCAAAATCGAATTGCGGCTATATAGATGCGGACTTTCGTTTTTATGGTGAAATTATCTTTCACGACGGTTCCACAAAGGTTTCGCCAACCAGAAAAGCATGTTTCTACCTATTGTTACCAGAGTTGTAATTTTATCTTTTACTTGGCCGTTTAGACTTAGAAAGGATCCAAGATAAATGGAGTTTGGCATTTCTTCAACCGACGATGAATTGATACAAATTTTTTCGCTTGCGAAGGAATGGTCGCACAAATACCAGGAATAAGAATTGATGAAATCCGATTATTGCAAGGTTCTAATTGGTTAATATTCTAGTACCGATGATGCCATTGGAAAATTTCGTCACTAAATGCAAACACTGATTAGTGCATCAATATTCAAAAAATAAAAAGAGCAAAAAAAGATAAAAATCAGCAGACCGGACTAATGATAAAGCCAAAATCTAACTTTCGAGCCCATTTTCATGAAACTTTTTATATATGCAGTGCCAGCATATTTTCTCAAGTGGTTAAGCAAGAACGGTCATGGAAGAGACTGCTGCGATATTATTTTCAGTAATAGAAATTTTTAAAAATGGTTATGAAGCTATACAGATTATTGTCTGAGTTAGAATAAAAAAATATTCTTATATATAAGGAATATCTATTTATTTTTAGAAACTGCAAATTCATAGTGGAACTTTGTAAATTTTCAATTCTCAGTAGGCTGAATTTTATCTCAAATTTAATAAATAGAATTGCTACGTTAGTTAATTTAAATTTTTTCAATTCTGCTGAGAAAGTGTTCTTAAAAAAAGAAATATATGATTGGCTATTTTTATTTTTACAAAACTTTTTTCAATAGTCTTTTGAACTAACTAATGTGAAATTGTAAGTCTAATTTAGGGACAAGTGAATTTCAAAAAAATTAGCAATAGTTTAACTATTGAAAATGAAAAGAGTGCGTTAATGATGATTTAATGTGCAACTTTTTTCATCATTCCTTGAATTTTCACCATCATCATTTATCATTTTATCAACTATCATTCCATCGTTTCATTCCATATTAAAGTATTAAAGTATTAAAGATCATTATTGCTTTCACGCTGTGCTCTATTATTTCTGCTTCTATTGTTTTGAACAGATGCACTTCTTCTTCTAATAATTCTCACCATTAGGCTGGCTCCAACGGTTAAAAGGGTAAGACTTCCAAGGGCTTCCAAGCGGCGCAGTCTGATACTATTGTCGGCAGTAATAGAAGCCATTCCTTTTTCCATCGTCTAAGTCCATAAAAAGAAAAGATTTTTTTTTTGAATAGATGCACTAATTGAATTTGTATGAATGTACTAATTCATACAAATGAGGATGGAAAAAGAGAAATTTTATCAGTGGAAGCTAAAAATTCATTACTGAATGCGAAGTGAATTTGAACACTGCCTTAGGCGATAATATAATTATTACGTTCCTTTCTAGCACCATCGGCTTTGTTCAGTTACGTTAAATTATGCGAAACACCACTGATATATTTTTTGGAGTATTGAAAATTGTACAAGTATAAGTATAAACTTACCTGGTATTTGGCCGACTTACTACCTACTGTGCACCCACAAAAGTGCAGATTGTATTCAGATTTTCTTTAAAATCTATTAACAAATCAATGAAGAAATCCATCGAATATAGCCAAAATATAATTTTTAATTTATTAAGTAGAAAAAGATTAAATATACCTTCTTGCATGATAAGCTTTGTGAAAAATGGATTCAAAAAGGAAAAAGACATTGGATGCGATGATTGATGAAACATGGAGTGGTCTCTTTTCTTTTATGGGGTCAAAACGAGTGGTGGAATTTTGCTTAAGGAGTGAAAATTGGTAAAAGTGAGATAAAGTGAGATCTGACAATGAGTAAAAGCTAGTAGCTCTCTCTTCATATGACTTACGAGACGGTCGCATCCTTACAGTTATTCAATGCAACTAGTTGAAACGAAAATTTTTTCGTGGAAGTAAAATCAATTGTTGCTTTCGCAGCGCTTTCAAAAACTACGGTGTGTTTCTGTCGCGAAATGGTTCCCGAGCGAAATTTATCCGATCAAACAATTCAGTCGAACCAAAAAGACTTGTGAAGATTTTCACAAATATGCTTTATAGATAGAAACAGAACCAATGGTACTGCCTTTCAGTTAACCAGCCGAGCATTTCTTTATATTTTTATTATTAAAGCCAACAATGGATAAATATATCGCTAAATAGGAAATATCTTGCGTTGGATGTCGAATTGAGATCTGCAATTTATCCGATAGCTGAAAGGATTGAAGGGAGAATAATTTAAAGAACATCCTGAAAAAAATCAGAAGTTACTTGATAGACAACACTACATTAATATTTTATTATTAGCATTATGATTTCCATTTTTTTTTTCAACTATAAGATTTCCAGTATCGAGAAAATCAGATTTTAGCTCACTGGAACTTTCTCCACGAAATCGGTTTATCGGTAAATATCGCATATCCCACTTTTCGCTATCTTTCTGGAAGAATTAACAAATAAGCTCAAACAACACTGTGAAAATTTTAGAAACCACTTCCTCATATTTTTCATGTGAATCATCTCGCTCTGCATGGCTATAACCTTTTTAATTAATAAACAGTTCTTGGAGGATGCGAGAACTAAAAATTGTTTCGTGGGAGTACCAATTTTTTTAACGAATGTTAAAATTATAGTAATAGCGGCAATACTATTTCGGCTGAGATCGCTGAGAACCTTGCGCATTTTAGCAAAAACGTTTCAAGGCAAAAAACAGATGGTTGTTCGAGAATTAACGCTAATACAAATGTATCTTTACGTACATCGAGTTGAAGAATGAATTTTCATAATATTAACTAAGATTGAAAAATGAAGAGAATAATTCTCTTTTGGGATTTCCCGTCAATTTTTTTATTAAAATGAAACAACTAATATCATTTTTCGAAGATAATTTTCCAGCAATTTCGCGAAATATTTTTTTTATTTTTTAAAATTACATTAATTATAAAATTAATGTTCTTTATCACTTGAAAGTTGGAGAAATCGTTTATCGGATAATTATCATTATTAATTGCATATCACTCGATATAAACTGAATAGATGTCAAAAAATATTCAAAAACCATATTTGAGCAGCTGAGATTTGAAGAGGAAAAATGATAATACGAATATATTTTGCTTATCACTTTTTTTGACTTATTGTTTTACGAAAAACAAATAAAATTTGAAATATAAAAAGCAAAAATTTTTGGAACGGAAATTATTTGACGTGTTACTATGTTCGCTTATTTACTTATACTTGCAACGCTATGCAATTTCGCTAACGGAGGTGGTGTCGATATAAACGTCTGCGTTAAGTCTGTTCCCGTTGGACAAGAATTTAAAAAAAGGCCTTCAGTACCTGTTGAGAACTGCCAAGATCGTGATATGGCCTGCACCGAGATATTCAAGTTCATGCCCAATAATGGAGCGATACTCGCAAATAATCTCAAGCCGTAAGTTTTCGATTTCATTTTCATTTCAATATGACTTCATAATGATGATGAATTTATGATGAATTTTATTATTATCATCCACAGAAAAATCGGCGAATGGTTGGGTGAATTTTTGAAAATTGTTTTAAAAACAGATTCATTAATCTTACTAGCCTTATTCTTCTTAATGATATACAAAACTCCTATTTTTTAAAACTCTTAAATTTAGAAAATTTTTATATTTTCTTTTGGCTTTACAAAAAAAGAGAAAAGCAATGTCTTTCAGCGATGAGGATTATAAAGTTCCAGACGATTGTCAGAAGGACCAATATAAAATGTTAGCTCGACAAATATGCCCACGAACGTGTGCGTTGTGTTGCTTAACTAAAGAATACAACTGCCAAAATGGTAAGAATTAAGCAATTCTTCTTGATGTAATTAAGTCTAATAAAACGATAAGAATTTTCTAACAAACATTTAAAAGCAATACGGTAGGAACCTTAATGGCATTGGAAAGGTAAAAGGAAAAAAAGAATTTGTACGAAAATTTCCTAAAATTCATCTGATTGATACGCGGTCAAAAATTATCGATTTCAGTTGGAGGTGAGGACGGTCCATGCAGAAGTTTTTCAAGAGCAATGTGCAGTCAATTCCCAAATATTGCGTTACAGCTTTGTCCACAAATTTGCGGCCTTTGCCATCTGCCTGGTGCTGCAAACATGTGTCCTGACACTATCGATGGTTGCGATGTTTTGGTGGGGTTGGGTATTTGTTTTGACAATCGATTTAAGAATTTGTGCCAGAGGTCGTGCTTCTCACGAGACTGCCTTACAAATCAAACAAGTGGGTTACTAATTACTATCGATTTTAATAGGTCAAAAAAGGCGTTGGTAGGTTAATCGATATTAATCGATATTAATGTCACTGTATAACGTATTATAATCTAAGAATAATTTGCATATTTCATGGTCGCGCATGTGATAAGTTCCTCGCAATAATCGAATAATCGGGCCTTAGGGGAATCACTAAATCTTCCACTCCCATAATTATGTGAAAATTGTTAGAACAGTTCTATTTATTGCAGCATCGCAGGGAAGCTGCCGTGACGACCATACCGACTGTCCAAGGCACCGCAATCTTTGCAATGTTGGCGATTATGGAGTTGTCATGCGCGTTAAATGCCGGTTGACTTGTGGTTTGTGTCGATAGACTGGAAGAAACATTTTTTTTTCCTTCGAATGAATATTTTAGGTTGAAGTCCCATGCTTTATTTCGTTGCATTATATTTCCTTTCTTTATTTAATAATTCCCTTTCTCTGAGACCAATAATTTCCTTCTATTATCTTAGATATAACAAAAAATAAATTATGCAGAAATTTGCATTATTAATGGAATTTATTGGTTATAAACAGCATTTATATTTGCCTTAGGCGAAAAACAGAAATGGCGGCATCGAAAAACTAATAAAAAGCGAAGTTTATGGATAATTTATAAAAAAATTGGATTAGAAAATTTATTTAAATTTTCAAATTTGTGCTTTTTAAGCCAAAAGTTTTAAAAAAAACATATTAAGTCCGAATTCTTACTTCAGAATCATCGGATTTGCTTGTATGCCACAGTTATCCAATACAATGTAAGAGCCAAACCCAGCGATATGTCAGCGATAGATTGTCGTGTTTTTCGTGATGCTTTAAATTCTTAAATAGTTGGTGAATATAGTTCCCACTAGGATTAAATGGGCAAATATGCATGAGAGCGAAAGGAAACCACCCTTCTCATCTCAGAGTGAAGCACAGAAGTTAAATTTTACTTTATGCTAAGATAGACTGATATAAGGTTTCAGCCTAAATGATGACTGATTAATACGGTAGAGATTTGGATGGAGCCAGTGAAAAATTAATGCACTCATTAATGCATTCATATAGAGAAAATAAAAAGAGAAAATAAAGGGAAAATGAGTGGGGAAAATGAGAAAGGGAAAATCGGATTAATAAGAAAGCTGCTTTTCAAGAAACGAAGAGCCCAATCATTTTCGTGCCGAGCCATCAAACCTTCTCAATTGATTAAAATGCAGTTGGTGAGAATGGCCATGGAGGTGAAAATGGCATTTCTCGAATTTCTAATATTTTATCATTTATCAATTATCATCCGCAGTTTCTTTCAGTAATTAAAGATTTTCAGATTATTATTTTTTTTACGCTATGCACTATTTTCACTTTTGGTGCTTTGAATAAATGCACCAATTAATTGAAAGCGCATTGACTTGTAGAGATGAACGGCTGAACTGTGCCGCAATTAGAGCCACAAATAACTGTGGCGGTGTGTTTCGAACAACAATGATGCAGCAATGCGAAAGAACTTGCGGTTATTGTACGTAATCAGTACAATTATATTTCGTATTATATTGATAAGGTAAAATTTTAATTTTCCCTCGAATTTTTGTTTGTTGTTGTTCGATATTATTAAAGAATTTATTGAACAATTTGATCGATGATTTTTATTGACTATATAATTCTTATTTTACAAATAATATTCACAAATTCTTTCACATCGCTGGTTGATATGAAAATAAATATTAAATATTAAAATTTTATAAACACAGAAACGCATTTAAAAAATAAGTACATATTTAATTTCACGAAACTTTAATCCAACTCGTAAAAGAATTTTAGTAGAGCTGATAAGATGAGAAGGAAAGCGATAACCATTTCACAGAGATAGATTATGCTATCTTAACGTTCAACTGATAAGAGTTCGCGGTTAGACGATATGCACGAAATCACATTTGGTCATTTATCCGTGAGAATGATATTATTCATTATTCGCATGTACTTTTATTGCTATTTTTTGATTATCATTTAGGGATTAATTAGAAAAGGAAATGCGTTTCGGCTTTAAGGTATGCTAAAAAGATATTAGTCTTGACGAATTGGATAGGAAGGAAGGAGGAGGAAAGGTGGTAGAGAAGAAAAAGATCAGAAAAAGACAGAAGGAGAAGGAAAGTATTGAAGAGAAGAAGGGCAAAAAGGACAGAAAAGAAAAAAAAAATAGCGATGGCAACAAAGGAGTTGATAATTATTATCTTATAAAAGGCAAAAACTGCTTATAACTAAAGGAAAAGAACTAGCCGTGAAAAACTGAAAATGATAGAAAGAAAATATCAAAGAAGTCTACAAAGAGAGCCAAGAAACAAGTTGAAAAGGCCAAAGAAAAAAAAATGTGCCACTTTAAGGAGCTAAACTTTGCTGCAAGATTTGTAAAAACCAGGTTTATTTCTATAATTGTTAGCTTCGACCAGGCTAACCTTCATTATATTGCAACTTCTTTATAAGTGCTTGGTAAATGCACGAACGAAAGTACCGCAAGGCATTGCAAGAAAATGTACTTGTGAAACGATATTCCAGTTCTCGCAAAGATGGTCATAGTTTTTTGGCATCAAAACGAAATGCTACAAATTTAATTATATGCAATACCACTTTTTCTTTAGTGATACTATCATTCAGTTTTACATACCTCAAATCATGGCGGGTAAACTTATATTTGAAAGTTGTTAAAGGGCAGCTGCATCATCCATATGTGAGAAAGTTTTGCTAATTTAGTTGTAGAATTTATTAGAAATTAGAAAAAGAAAAAAAATGGTGATATAACAAATGGTGATATGACGATGATAACAAATTTTCTCGAATGACAACTGACTCGGCCAAAAGTTCGCTATTGCTTTTGCTCAAAATTATAACGCATTTTTTAAATCTTTTTTTGACTTCATGCATTACTTCATTTTCTTTTGTATATTTTTCTAGCATATTTGAGCGCAATGACCAATAGGACAGGCTTAACTGCTTCAATAGTTCTTCTCTAAAGCCCATTAAATTTTATATTATTATTCCCTTAATGCCTTTCCAATTCCCCAAATTACTTTCATCCCATTTCTACTGAAGCAGAAACATGGCAAGGTGAATTAAGAGAAAGAAAATCATAGCCATAGCTATTTATATGAGGGAATATATAGCAAAAATAAGGGGATTTTAAGAGGTTTCTTCTTTCCCTATTATTCTTTTTTGAGAGATATTTGAAATGGGTCGAGAAAAATAATTATAATCAAAACCGATTCGTTGTGATTTAACACAATGAGCACTTTTATTTTTCGTTCATAATATATAAACAAATGAAAATAGGTTTCACGTAATCGTTTCCGATAAATGCTTCCGGAAGTATTTCTGGAAGAATGCTCTACTCTGGAAAAATATTTCTCCTCTTCCATTAGTATTTTTTTTATTGAATTTTGAACATTCAGCTAATGTATTTGTCCAAAACAATAGGCAAAAATGATTTAATATAAAAAAATATGAGAATGATTGAAAATGACG